TCCAAAGGTGGAGTTTAGTGTGAAACGAGTGGCTCTTCCCAATGATAGATGGCATGAAAACCTTCTTAAGAGTTTGAGTCTGTTTTCTTTTTGCTTTTGGTAGTTAGTTGGTAAGGGTGCCTCAAGCAAAACTTCACTTGAGGATCCTATGGTCAAAAATAAATTGTTGTGTTTAGGATGGTGAGAGTGGTGACCTTGAGACTCTTGTGTTGACCGACAATCATCAAGTGATTTTTTGGGACCATTGTGTTGCTCAAATCTCAACTAAGGTTGTTGTGGGACCCCAACTCTATTTCTTTAGCAATCCCAAATCTTGTATGGTGAGAATTTGAATTACAAGTCCAAGTCCCGAGCCATTGGTCTAGAACTTGCCCTGAATGTTTGTCTAGGCAAAATCATAAGTGTAATTTGACTTGAGATGTGATTATAGGCTCTCATTGATCTGAATGTTATCTTGAACAATTCCATAGCCTACCAATGATAATATCCCTAGTCAACCCTTTTGAGCCATAAACCTTTTTCTTTCAAGAACCACGATACAAGCCTTTACCCGTTCTAAAAATACCCTCTATTGGCACCCGATCTTCCCTTAGCGCAAGGCAAGAGCATAAGTTGGGGGGGGGGATAGACTAGGAATGCAACAAAGTGGTAAAAGGTACAAAATAAAGAAAAGAAAAGGCAATGAAAAAGAAAGAAGATCAAAAAGACAAAAGGAATAGGCAATGTAGAAAAGAATGAAGGAATTCAATAAAAGTAAAGAGATGAAAAGTGTGGAAAGTTGAGAAAGTAGAAAAAGATTTGAAATGAAAAAGAAAGAGAGATAGTGTGTCTCCCTTAGAAAGAAGTTAAAGGACTTAAAAAGTCAAGAGAATATGTGCCAAAATGAAGCAAAAGAAGTGCTAAAGGGAAGATGGAACCTACTTAGACCAAACATTTCCTACCCTAACCAAAAGCCTTCACTATTTCTCTACAAAAGCCCTATATGATTTTGAGATGAATGAAGCTTACATTAGTGGTGACTCACATAAAGGGCAAACTTATGGTACTTAGAGCCGAACTTGTGACCTTTCTTTGAGAGAGATGAGCATGTTTCCACTATCCTCATTCTGAGTGCTACAATCTTAAAGGTGAGGTTTGCTTAGGGAGAGTTGAGGATGTATGAGTTTGGGTTCCACAATGACCAAGGTAGTAGAAATAGTTTCTTTGATGTGTTGAGTCAACTCTTGATGCTCTTGTGTCGCACTAAATCCATGGTGCTTAAAAGGTCGAATATTGTTAATGATTCATTTTAATTGAGGGCAATTGTTAGTCCCAATTGATACTAGATGAGGTCACTTTAAGTCAGCTGAATTTTCTTGGATTTACTCTAAAGGGGTGGGTCTATTTTGTTTGCTTGAGGACAAGCAAAAGCTTAAGTTTTGGGGAGTTGATAACTAGGGATTATGATGCATTTTACACTCCTTCTTACTTGAGTTTTGACTAAAAATGTGTACAAAATAATCTCAAAGGCTTACATGTTGTACTTGATTGCAGGGTTTGGTCAACAAGGTGACAATTCGTCAAAACCAGCTCAAAAAGGAGTGAAACATGCACAAGTACCAAGAACAAATCCAAACACAGTGTAACAGGACCAATGCGACCGCATTCCATTCTTTGCGGTCCGCAAAGAGGAAGTTCAGAGAGGTGCTATTTCGAAGACTCAAGCATTGCGGCCGCAAAGCAATTTGTGCGGACCGCGATGGACTCAATACGGCCGCACTCGATATTGTACGGTCCGCAAAGACAGAGTTCAGAGAGTTGCCAATTTGGGGAATCACTGCCAATACGGTCTGCGGTCCTTTTTGTGCGGACCGCAATAGAAGCCACCGCGGCCGCGATACATTTTGTGCGGCCCGTGGTGGACAAGTTCAGAGAGCAAAAGTTTAAAGCAAGAGCCTCAGTGCAGCTGCACTCGATTTTGTGCGGTCTGCACTACCCCCGTAGGGGTATTTTTGTCAAGAAAATTTGGTCTAGTATAAATAGTTTCTTTTCCCATTTTTAGGTCATCAGTTGTATTTTACTTAGTTGTTGCACTCGTGAACAGTGTTTCTTTACTATTTTGAGTAATTTTACAATAGTTTTACAATTTAATCTTCAAGTTTTAGCTTGTAATTAAATATTATGGGTTTTTCTTCATCTATTTCTTTGTTTTCTTCTATTATCATGAGTAGCTAGACCCATTAGCTAGGGTTGTGGCTCAACCCTAGTGTGGGTATTTGATGAGTCTTGTGTTTTAAGGCTTGAATATCTGTGGGTGTTTGATATTTGGACTAATTTATGGTTTTAATGTTGAATTAGTGGTTGCAAACACTAATTTGTGCCTATTTGACTTGGGCTCTTCTTGAGAAAGAGAGCCTAAGTCTAGGAAAATAGTCCAACAAGGAATTGGGGCGTATTCAAGAGATTGATAGCCCCAATTAAAGGGTTAAACCTAGAGATAGTAATACCCGACTTGAACCTCAATTGCTTGCCAAATTGGTCTTGAGGAAGTCAATTAGGGCAAAATTACTCAAACTACCGAGAGGTATAGAGTGAATAGTATCGTGCAATGGTTATATCGTAATCACCAATATGACAACCTAGCCTTAGACTCGAGAACCCATCAAGTGTCCACCTAGGAGAAAGTCACTTCCCTAGTGCCTTTTAACTATTTAGACAAGTCTTCAAGTATCTTACTATTAGCTTAACTTAGCTTAATTTAACATCTTATTAGTATACATTTAGAAGTATATCAAAATCAACTATGATTAAAAGTGCAATTAAGAGCAATTACGCATCTCCAATTTAGATAGAAACTCAATTCCCATTTCTAGCTTCCTGTGAAAATCGATCCCGACCTTCTCGAGTAAAAGCTGCTTCGACCACTTTTGCTATTTTATAGTAGTGCAGGGTTGGCCTCGATCACGGCATAATAGCCCCAAAGTCGAACTCCCCAATTTTGGACGTATACAATAGTAAGTGCATCTAATGGTAGAAAGCTGAGATTTAGCCCACCACATGTAAACTTTCAAGAGCCTCAAGAGTGGATTGCATTGATTTCACTTATGTATATAATTTTTCACACATTAGGCTGATAGTAACGTAAGAGAGTAGTAAATCAAAGAGCACATTCGCTATTGAATTATCTTGTTTTAGATAATTCAATCCTTTATTGAGTATTTTGAAGCATACGAAGTTCTTACGGTAATAAAATTAATGAAGAGATTTATTTGGTTTAAAAGTCCCAAAATAGTTTTGAAGTTGGCTGAACGTTAGTATTGAAAATCATAATTTTTGTAGAACTCAGAGTTCTAGTGCAATCATACCACTACAACATTTTAAACCTTTAATCACATTCAAAAGTGCAGCCTAAACTATCAGAAAGTGTGGTCTTTAATCAACGGCCACACTCTATGACCGAAGATAACCCTTTTTAGGGAGTGACATAAGCAAGCGTAACCTTTGCCCTAGGGCAACACTTTTCAAGAGGCAAAGGCCTTAAGGCAACACTTTTCAAGAGGTATTACAATTTTATCCGATATAAACTTATTTGTACTTTAGTTTTCAAAGAACATAAAAATCAAATAATATTTTAGAGATATTTTGGTCATTCAATATTTAGCGTTTTAACATTCGTACTTTTATAATAACTAGTCTCTATGTACATGCATCGCACATATCTCTTTCGCTAGTCAGTAGAAATTCTCTTGGAAGAAAATTAATACTCCTATGTTATGCAAATTTTGTATATTGCACGTATATTTTGCGTACGTTTGTGACGAATAGCCATACTTGTGAAAACTTGGGTGATGCGGAATTTGAAAATTTCTAAGCTACAGTAATTAGTTTAATTACATGCCTATTTCACGTAAAAAAAAATTAAAGTATTTTGAATTCTATGATAAATTTCTAGAGTCTAATTCTTAGATAACTTTTTAATACGCTTTTGTACATCAGTATAATTTAATTTTAGAAGAGCATAATAGACAGTTAATATTTTGAGAATTCTTTTGTGATTCGATATTTAGCATTCTAATAAAAGTTATTATATGGAACAACTCATCTCAAAATACCAAAAGCCATATAACTCAGCCATAGTCCTCAAAGATATTTTACATATTTCATCATATAAGAGATCTTACTAACCCCGGGGGTCTTTAGCAAAAAAAGCTAAATGCAAACATTCCTAATCTTATGTTTCTTTGTCCTAGCAAATATCTAAGACTACATGGGATATCAAACTTTTAATGCTAACAAAAAAAAAGAAGAGAAAAACATGGTAAATTGTAATATTAGTAAGAACAAATAAATATTAAAAAACACAACGAAATTATTAGCATGAAACACGTGTACCCTGCAAAGAAAATTGAAGAAGCGTTTATATTAGTTGTTCCATTTGGACAAACAAATTAGTATCCAAACACAATTTAGCATGAAACACAATGCTTATCTGATAATTTTTGACTGCTTTTCTTAGCTAATATTGTTAACGTAAAGAGGTATCTTTATGAATGAAGTCTTACATAAACTCAAATTGAATTGGATGTATTTAGTTGATCGCGTAGATATCAGAATTCCAGGGTTAAATTTCTATTTTATTACAACTCGTCATCTTAGCGGGTGTATTTTTAGTTTGTCCTTTCCTTGTGAAGATTAATGTAAATAATTAAGCGCATAAAAGTCGATCAATATTTTGAGGATATTTTAGTCCTTCAATATTTAACTTTCAGCAATCGTGTTTTTATAATAATATAAAATATGAATATAGATATAGTGATATAAATTTACAAGTCAAACACATTATGTAGTATATATAAGAGAGATAGAGTGAGAATTTTCAAAATTTATATTCATGAATATTGGATTTACCTTAAGACTAGTACTAGTAGCAGTATATAGGCTTGTTCAAGAAAGACATTTGTAAACAATGGGTTTCTTTTTCATTTGGGCTGAGGCCCATTAACGTGACCCGCCAGCATACAACTTCAGTTTGGGGAAATTCTTGTTTTAATTTGCGCTCTCTCTCGGCTACTCGTCTTCTACGGCTATTCTGCTAACATCTCCGGCCTCCCTCGAATCAACGGCACAGGCCACAATAAGGTCACTTCTCTTCTTTTCCTCTTTTAATAGTATATCTGGAATAAAAAGGGATGAAGAAACGGCTCCCAACATTCCCACTATATATACTCTGTGCAGAGGCCGTGTACGGTGTAGCAACAAATTCCCAACATAGAACTATGAATAAACGCTATACTTCTCTTTGATTATTTCCTTTTTCTTTATTGTTCGTTGTGGTTTTATTATTTTATTTAATTGAAATTGGCAACATAGAAGTGAAATCCGAAAACATCTCAGAAGCAAGTTGGATTTTTGTTGGCTTCATAACAAAAAAAAAAGTTAAAAAACTACCAAGCTCGAAATATGTGTGTGTGTGTGAGAGAGAGAGAGAGAGAGAGAGAGAGAGAGAGAGAGAGAGAGAAGTTTACATTGAAATTATTTAATTTTCTTATATTGAAATTGTTATTTTAGTTATAAATTGTTAGTTAGTTTATTTTTTTTTGGTTTGTGTTACATTCGAATTCCGCAACCTATTGTTAAAGTAAATAACTTTAAATTCCTTTGAGAATATGCACAATCATCAACTGTGTCACATTTTTCAGTATAACTTTTACTTGCAATTGATAAGATTATTGGAGTTATTTACATAGTAATGTATTTAGCTAAAATTTGTCTCTACTTTCTGTTTAATAATCAATTATTAGTGTCTCCACTTGCTAAGGTGGCTGTAATTCGTGCATTTTTTTTCTTCTGGTAGGCTATAGGAATTTGTAATTCATTCCATCTATGGAAACTGATAAGTGGGCAAGTTTTATGGAAGGAGCTAGTGATTCTGAAGGTTATGGGGAGGATCTTGATGATGATGACATTTGCTGTGCATATGCATCCACCGATATACCCCAGTTGCAGTTCAGGTTTCATCTCGTGATATAGAAGCGTGTTGTCTTGTTCCGAATTTTATCTTTATTTATTAAAAATAAACTTGCTAAAAGCAATGTGAATGTGCATATTTTACTTCAGGAAAGATATTTCAAGATCACGGTGGCTTGACCAGTTTGGTATGGCTGAGGTTGTGGAGAGGAAGGGTGGATTGTGGACAACTACTGGGATAGTTCGTAATGGCAAGATATACTGCTTCATTGAAGAGATTTTGTAGGTGATGAAAATTCTATTTTTGTTATTTCCTTTTAGTTGAAGAGTTAAAACTATTACTTTGAGTTGAGGCATAATTAAGAACAGAGGACATCGACTTTGTTTTCAGAATATTTGGTCAGAGTTCAAATAATTGATCCTGTTTGGTTGAGAAGAGAAAAGAACATATTTTTCTTTAATATCTTAACAAACCTCGAAAGACTTATTATATCTCTTGTTTTTATGGGCTGCAAAAGTGAAAATTGAATAATGTGGTTAATAATTTGGGATACTTTTTCTGTTGATTCTCATCAATGACTATGGCTGATTTTGGTATAAAATTTGGATACTCCTGAGTGATATTTGAATTACCTCTCTGAGTTATGCTTGTGTATTTTAATTGCACACTCATTTATTGCTTCAACATGTTAGAAAGAGTAGTCTGGGTGGAGAAAGAGAGTAGAAGCAAATGGATAAAGTCTATAAATAGACAGATAACAGGTATTTAATGGTCAGTTTGTCATTTGACATATTTATTTGTATGAGGAACTGATATGAAAAATTTATGTTTAATTTGAGATTTTCTCTTCTGCAATTGCCTGTGTTTAAAGAATGATACTGTTTATTTCATGTAGATATCTTGCTGAAATTGGGGCTCTGCATCTCTTCGGTAATGATGACGCACCCCTTTCTCTGGAACACATATACAACAAGGTTGCAGAAGGAAAAAGTGGATGTTCCTTGGAATACTTTGAAGCATATAAGCACTTGAAATCTCTTGGTTATATAGTCGGGCGTCATGGTATTCCTTGGTCAATGAGAAGGTCAAAAGTAGATTGTGCTATTAACCAAGACACGCTGGAGACTGCTCAAACCGGAGATGAAGAATCAAGAAACAACGTTCTCATCTCTGAAATGTTTAGTAACATGCAAATTGGTGGACTGAGACTGGCTTTTGACGTTTACCCTCCTAATAGCAGATTCAGAAAGTCTGCTCCTGGTGATCCCTATTTTGTACTTTGCCTTGCTAGGTACGGTACCTTGTTAATGTGGTTCATTATATTATGGTGCTTAGTGCCTATTAAAATTTTCTGAATCTTTGCCTCTTATTTAGCTGATTATAGGGACTTGTAGTTCAGCAATTCTATGGGTGATCATTGCTGAATGTTTAAGAGTAAGATAGATTTGCCAGCTTGGATGATATTCATACAAAAGTAGTACTAGGTTTTTATGTTTCCTATTTATTCCTTACTCCTGACCTATCTGATTCCCTGCAATGTTTTGTATGACCTTGTTGGTCCACATTAACTGTAGAAGTAGCTTATTTTATGTGTGATATATTTTCTTGGGCAGTGAGTATCCACCTTCCAAAGAAGAAATCGAAGATCTTGAGAGACATTCTCATGGTATTCCTTTGAAATTCTGTCTGGTTGAGCATGGGCGTGTAAGCTTTTTCTCATTCAACAAAGTTGAGCTTCCTATCCTTTCATGATCCCTTCGAGCAACAACAACAGAAATAACAGCCCATTAAAATCTCACAAGTGGGGTCTGGAGAGGATAGTGTGTACGCAGACCTTACCCCGACCCCGAGGGAGTAGAGAGGCTGTTTCCGATAGACTCCCGACTTTCATGATCCCTTCGAGCAATGAATGCAAATCTTGGCATGCCCTGAGAAGAGCTATGGTACAATTATGGATTTTAAGTTTGTGGATTGATGTTTCACCATTGTGTAATTGCTAACACATTATTAAGTATGTTTGACTGATGAAGGTGGACCTTGTCTCCTATGTTATACAAGTCTTATGATCTTATCTTCTCTTCCCTCAATGTTGTTAAAGCTGAAGGTTGATACTAAATGTTATTGCTTAATTCTTAACATACGTGTTACAGTGGTGAAATTTACTCTAGTTATTATATAAATAGTATTAGCATTTGAAAAGATTCTAGTCTTTTTTCTTGTTAAATATATAAATTGGAATAGTATCTTCACTAATATAAATCGGGACAAATATTTTTTGGAAATTTTACCATCTATAGCAAAGATAGATACCTTATTTATTATAAATAAATACCCTTTTAAAAAATTATCTCATATAGCTACCTTTTAATTTTTATAGCAAAATATCTATTTATGATCACTTTCTACCTTTAAGTCATTAAATACGTTGTGTAATTTTTCTCTCTCCCTCTCTCCGCCTTTCTCTTTCCTGTTTCTTCTCTTTTTCCCTCGATTTTTTCCTCCCCTGCTTTTAGAAACCCTAGTAGGGGTTGTTTTCCGCCAACGACAGATCCGGCCGGCGACCACTTCCACCTTTCCTTGTTGTGTCACCCCTAACTCCCTCCTCCGACCGGCGATTTCTTTCATACAGTTATGTTACACATTTTAAATTTTTCTTAGATTTTGCATTGATTGTTCATGTTTGCCTTGTGAGATCTGAAGAAGTTTCGTCTCTAGTTCCCGTTTGATCCTTTAAATTGGTGCTTCTTCAACAACTATCTTCATTTAACCGGTGGCGATGCCCCACATGGTGGCGGCCTGGATATTGGTGGATTGGGGACGGAGTTTGGGGTTGAGGAACTTGAAGAGTCTGTTACCTTTTTTTCATTGTATTTCAATGTATCTCGCTGTATTCCATGTATTTCATTGTATTCATTGTCTTTAGTTTTTTCTACTTTTTCAGTATATTCATTCTATTTAACTGTATTCAATGTAATTATATAATTTCAAAGCTTCACTTTGTTTCACTGTTTTGTCTAGCAGTATATATTCAGTAGTATGTATTCAATGTATTGTAGAATGTATTCATATATTTTTTAATTAATATAATTTATATATTCAGATGTATATATGTATTCAAATGTATCTGCAGTATGTATTCATATGTATTTTCACTATATATGACATGCTATACTTCATGTATTCAATGTATTTTTATGTATTTAACTGTATTCAATGTAATTATATAATTTCAATATATAAATCTATTTGTAAAGATGCCACGAAAAAATATTTTAGTAAAGATACCACAAAAAAAAAAGAAAGGATGGATTGAATCTCTGAAGATTGCTCTATTTTTGGGGTGTTTTTCGGTTGAGAATCTTTTTTATAATGGAAATACAAATTTTGTGTGTTATAATTGAGTTTGTTGAGTTATATTAGGAGTCTATCTCGTTAATTGATTCACTTACCGTTTTTAAACAGCTGAAGACTTTTTTTCCGCAAATTTCGTTACTGTATTCACGAATACAACTCGCGAATACAGTCGAATACATTCTCTGCTTAGCTGGACTCCCCTGTTTTCCGCCGAGTTTTGCTACTGTATTCATGAATATAGTAGTAAAAATACATCGAATACAGTCTATAAGAAATGAAAACATAGCTATAGGAAGTAATTTAGTAAATAATAGCTATAACAAGTACTAAAACATAGTGCTTTCTGAAAATTTCTGGTCGTTATAAAAATTTACAATAATGCAGCACAAAGTAATTTATGCAAAAGCCAGGTGTCAAACATATTCTTGGTGCTTCATATCGTCTAACTTTTTTTTAAAAGAAAATCGGGAGGGNATTAGTTTAAAAGATCTCCATTCTAAACTTATTCTCTTGTTTGTCTTCCATATTTTTGACTAAAAAAACATAAAAAAAAATAATTTCAGTTTTAATTGTACATGTGCAATACATGTATAATAATATATAATTTGTATAAATTTATATATGAAATATATAATAATGTATATCAGAAAAATAAGAAAGTGTTAAACTTTCACGGAGGCCTCTTATATAATGATAATGAAAAATATATAATTATACAATAATATACACAAATAAGCGGACTTTTCTGTCGGCGCACGTTAAGTGACTGCTAACTTGCGCATCTCCGGCATGGGGAAGGGGCGACCAAAGAGGAATGAAGGACTACTCGGACAACCTAATACCCGAATCCAAAGTGGAAACTCAGGAAAAGCTAAGGAGAAGTATACAAGTGAGCAGGAAACAGAGGAGGGTGATCCAAAATGGCCGATCCTGCATGCAGTTCGGTTGGAGCCGGAAACACTGCACAATTCACCTATGCTAAACCTAAACAAATCAATTGCGAAAACACCAGAGCTACTAAAGACAAATCTGGAGAACACCCTAATTTGACCAATGGAACAGTGAAGTCGAGTACTAGTAAGCTACAGTGGAGCGACATATGCCAGCAGGAGGAAAATGATGCTACTATTCCTCAGACGAAGGAGCAGGCTCCAGTGCACAAAGACGGAGAAAGGAAGTGGGCAGGATTGTTCGAGAAACATAGCCTTGCGTCCAAAGGTATGAATCTCTCTTACATTCCACCAATAATTCAGGATGGTGAAATTGTTGTTCAATTGGAAGAGGAGGATGTTGCAGCTGAAACAGAGAAATGGAATTTAGCCTTAATTGCATATGTGGTTGCCAATACCCCCTCAATTGGAGTCATAGAGCGATTCATAGCTAGCCAGTGGAATTTTGTGACAAAACCTAAAGTATTCATTCACAATGATGGATACTTTGTTATTCGATTTGCTAGTGCGAAGGACAGAGATGCAGTCTTACTTTCTGGGCCTTACACTTTGTACAATCGACCTATCATACTAAGAGCATGGTCTGTAGACTTTGATTTCAATGAGGAAATACTAAGGATCATTCCCTTGTGGGTAAAGATTCCGAACTTGCCTTTGAAATGCTCGAGTGAAAGAGCCCTAAGCAAAATTGGGAGTGGATTATGAAAGCCAATATATGCTGATGAATGTACATCTAAAGCTGAGAGGATATCTTATGCAAGGCTATTGATTGAGATGGATGTAACTAGGCCTCTTCCTGGCAATATCAAAGTATGTCCTACAGGGAAGATTATTGATCAACCATTAGCTTATGACTGGAAGCCACAATATTGTCATGTATGTTGCCAGATTGGCCACAACTGCAAGTCCAACAAAATTTTGCAACTAAATGGATAGAAAATACAGTCCAAACAAGATAACCTGAAGCAGGAGTGGAAGATATCTCGTATACTGGATCCCACAGTTGATACTCATATAGATGCACATGGTAGATTCATTGACAATATTATCCAATCACCAAAAGAAATAGCAGAAAAACAAATAATAGCCGGAGAATGGGATAGGGCTAGTAAGAAATCTGCAGTGAAAGCAAGCAGAAAAAAATAGCCAGACCGAAGGGTAGCTATAGCAAACTGCTTCACGCCACTACATGACCTCACACAATTACCAATCCAGAGTAATGGTAGTATACAGGAGAAGGGGCAGAGCAGTGATACTGTGAAGAATGATTAGAACATTCATAAAACTAATAGATGAATTTTATAGCCTGGAATGTTAGAGGAATAAATAAGGTTTATAAGTAGAAATAGCTTAGAACCTTTTGCACAGAGAATAAAGTAGTTCTGATAGTAGTTATAGGAAATAGAGTGAAAGAATAAAATGCTCCAAAACCTATACAGAAAATAGTAGAATGATGTCAATGGATAGGCAACTATAATACTGATCCAAGAGGTAGGTTGTGGGTGCTGTGAGATCCAAGGGTTGTGGAGTTCAGTGTTGAAAGAATACATGCGCGGGTCATTCATAGTCATGTCAAGATGTTGCAACTCAATACAGGATTTCAATTTAGTGCAGTCTACGGACTGCATACCATTAATAATAGGAAGAAATTGTGGCAAGAGTTACAGACTATTGCTACTCAAATGTCAGGGCCTAGGGTGATGATGGGAGATTTCAATCCAATACTATCTATAGAGGACAGACTATATGGTAATCCAGTCCAAGAGGTTGAGGTGATTGACTTCAAGGAATTCCTGCAACAATCTGGTATGATGGAATTGAAATCAGTAGGGAGATATTACACTTGGACAAATCACCAAATACATAGCAAGATCGACAGAATATTGGTGAATGCAGAATGGATTTGTAAGTGGCCTCATCTGGAAGGGATCATTATGGACCCACACTTCTCTGATCACTACCCTTTGAAGATCCCTTTTGAGATTGTAAAGGAAACAGGAACCAAGTCTTTCAAGTTCTTCAATTACCTAGTTGAACATCAGGACTTCATGCAGGCTATGGAAACTATCTGGAGAAAGCCTAGCAACCTGCACTCTATGCAAATGGTCTGGCTGAAATTCAAACAGTTGAATGGTGAGATGAAAAGACTAGCAAGAAGGGAGCCTGGCAAGGTTGAAGATAGAATAGCACAGGCAAGGGAGAAGCTGAAAACTATACAAATACAAATGAGAGATCCTGCCAGAAGTTTAGAATTAGTGCAAGTTGAAGCAAAAGCAAAAGAAGAGCTTGAGAAATGGTTGATTGTAGAGGAAAGCATAGCCAAGCAAAAATCTAGAGTACATTGGTTGAAACTAGGAAACACTAACATAACCTATTTCCATGCATTCTTAAAGAACAGACAATCGCAGAAACAAATAAGGAACTTGAGGGATTCTACTGGACAGCTGCTGTAAAATGCTGGTGAAATAGAGGAAGAAATACAAAAGTTCTACAAGGGATTTCTTGGTCAAGCTGCTCATCAGCTCCCAGTGGTGCAACAGGACATAATGCAAAGTGGCAAGGTGGTAACAAGGGACCAGCAGCTAAAGCTCATCAGGCCAATCACAAAGGAAGAAGTGAATGAGGCTGTTAAGGGTATTGGTGATCAGAAAGCCCCAGGATGTGATGGCTTCAATGCCTTCTTCTACAAGAGGACATGGCCAGTCATAGAGGAGGAGGTAACAGCTGCTGTGATTGAATTCTTCAATTCAGGAAGTATGTACAGACCTATAAATTGCATAACAATCACATTGATCCCTAATGTCAAACACCCCTCTAACATAAAGGAGTATA